ACAATGCACACTACCTTTTATGGAGTGTACTCTAAGAAAATTAAACCTGTTTAGAACAAAAGAAATGAAGCACTTCCATAACAAACTCCTCTATGTTTGCCATCTTCGATGGAAAAAATATGTATTTTAGCAAGATTGATATTAGAGCGTTCATCTATTCGCCCGTAAGAACGTTGTAAGAACGTATTGCCGAACCTTTTCAATGCTGATCTTTTGCTTTTGTAGATAAAATTAAGAAAGATAGAGCTAGATATTCGCAAAAAGATTATTCCTCTCTGTCCCTGTCCGCGGCTCTCACACTCACACTCGCCTCTCAGATTGAATCATTCCCCTGGAGTTTACTGTAACTTGATAACCAGAAATAACAAAATTACAAACCTTACACGAGGTTGAAATATAGGAATCTAATCGCGAGGTTTTTTGTAAATATTTATCCATCAGTTACAAACTTGTACAAAGGCTGAAAAGTAAGCCAATCAATTTTCCAAGTTAGGATTTCAATTTGAACTCATTCTCGGAAGATTGGAACGACCAATAATCTTTTTATGAATTGAATAATGCAGTCTAGCTGGGCACGCTTCATGTCCTTTGACTGTAACACATAAAAAAGGAAAAAAAGTGACCGATTTTATTTGATTAAAAGCGAGAATTTCAACTGATAGAAAAAACTTTAACCTGCTTGAGCTGATGATCTTAAAGAGAATAGTAGATTTTGTTGAAATTCTTCAATATAAGATTCGAAATATTTTTTGGGTTGAGTATCTCATTGTTACGGGCCAGCGATTAAGCAGATTTACAAAAATAATTAATGTCTCTCACAATAACTTCAAATCAATCAAAATATCGAAACACAATACCAAATTTTTATTGCTTGTCGATAAAATAGATAATTCCGTTATTTTTTTAAAATCTCAAATAGTTAAAAAAGACTAGCTTTAAAATCGTGATTTAACCGTTATACAGTTGGCGATGAATGTTATGAATGCGAGCTTGTGACCTTATTAGGATTGCGAAGTAAAAATAGACAGTTTCCCAGAAAACAAGCGTTACGCTAACGCTTCGATTCAAATTGACGCTCTACCTGTTTGCTTAGGACTTTTTCACTCGCTCAAAAGTTTATTTCATCAATTAAACCGATGAAAAAGGTGCTGAAAAGGACAAAATTCCATGTTAATTAATGTAAAGATTATGAACACAGCAAAACAGAACGCAATTGTGGGTATTTGAGTGTCATTGAAAGGTTTATATTTGTTCGCAAATATTTCTTACGTCAAATAGCAAATTCCCTAAAGCCTGTGATATTAAAGCCAATGCAATCAGATTTCGAGATTTCATTTGATTTTTGAAAATAATTACGGAATATTAGAAAATGAAGACTGATGTCAAAAATCGAATAATGAACTGAATAATGCATTCTAGATGGGCATGCTTAATGTCCTTTGACTGTAATTATTTGTCCTAGCAAATTCGATCCTTTTTTCAAGATATTTTTGATAAACGTAGTCAATTTTGCTACCCACACCTTGCTATACACTCAACAAAATTACTCGATTCTGATTGTGAAGAGGATTACGATTAAATCCCAAATTGTACTCTGTAAAGTCCCAATTTATGCTCATTTTTTTCTCGGAAATAAAATCGACAACATTAACAGTTTGCTTGAAGAATCGTGACACATTTTAAAAAACACCTTTAAAAAAGTGAATATGTTTCTTTGGGCTAAAAGTTTATAAACGAAAAGAATAACTAGAAGTTTCCTGAGTAAGATATTTCGGACGATATCCATCGTCCATCATCAGTTTAATGACTCTCTATAAGTGTATTTCACTGTAATACACTTATAGAGATAGAGAGTCATTAAGCTGATGATGGACGATGGATATCGTCCGAAATATCTTACTCAGGAAACTTCTAGCTATGGTTTTCGTTTACTTTTTAAAAAACTAGCTTGGAATATTTTTGAGTAAACCGACTACATTGAAGTTGTTCCGCATTCTCGCACTAAACGCCGAAATTGAATATTCAAATCTCGTGTTTGGTGCCATAGCTTTAATACTTACATGTTGGAAGCTGAAATGTCTTGATGGTGTTCTCAGTTTCCTACAGCAGCGAAAAAAGTAGTTAGAGGAAGCTTTTCACAGACAAATGAAGGCATCACCATAAATTATGCGACTGATCAGAGAGTGTGGTCGTGAAGATATCAAGCAACGTGCTTGAACTTGAATGGGCAAGTCTATCAATATTTGTTTGTCTTCCCGACTCCACCATAAATTATAGCTGATCTGAGAGTGTGGTCGATGAAGTGAAGATATCATGCAACGTAAGAGACATATTATGATGCTTGGGCAAGTCAATCGATATTTATTATTCGTCTTAGCTTCCGACGCTTCTACGGGTATTTCAAAGACGTATAAAACCAAAATATTCAAGAAAACTATATAGCGGGGAGTGAGGTCGATAGTGCCCCGGGAAGAGAGTACCTGGTTGCCAATATTGGCTAAGGTATTGTGAAACGGAAAGCACCCATCCCTAGTCAAAAATTAATTTTTGATACTCAATATACTGAGTGTCTGTAGTGGCTATTTGAATCAAGACCTTTAGCTTCATTGTTTGTTGTGCACATTTTAGACCATACGATGCCACTCTTCAGAGTTGATTCTTTCATGTGGAAATGTTTTAATATGTTTGCCATAAAAGAACAATTCTCAAGGGAATGTCATGTGACCTCAAAGGGCAATTTGCATACGAAGCTAAAAAGGTCTACTGGGGTTTTCAGAAACGAAAGGGGGAATGGGTCGAGATCGCCTTGCAAGGGCTACTGGGACTGTTACTGGAGACGTGTGTGTTTGTTTCTAAAGCAATAGCAGGTTTTTTAAACCTAGAAAAATATAAATAATAAATAATAAATAAAGGTTTTTCGATCGACCCAGTTTTTTTCCTCAATCTCGGAATAACTAAAACTATTGTAAAGTTTACTTTCAAATACGCAGTACGTTAATTACTTCAATTTTACTACTTTTAATTTTGAAGACATTTGAGTGGTTATCCAGGTTTAGTTTTACTTCCAAAGGAGGTGGGTACCGGGTATCTGCACTCATCCCGCGTATACAGTCAATTCAAAAAACGTTGTCGTCGACCGTCTCAAGCCTACGCGACTGGACCGAAAGAAATATGGGTAATAATCATTGAAGCGGTTAGATATTCGTTCTGAATTAATTGTTCTCGCTAGTTATAAGATAATAATGGCGAGAAACAATCCATCAAATGCATGTCTTTGGGTTTAGTGAAAGAAAAACAAAGTAGTTATGATTCAGTTCACAATTTCGAAAATATGAAGGCATTAAAAAAACGTCTCCTTCAACACTTCCCGCTCGCCTACGAAGGTTCGTGCTGTAAACCGGGCATAACTAGTCAGATAAAATTATGTAGTCAATTCGGCTTCAATGATTGCTAACCAGAGCTTCTTTCGGTCCAGTCGCGTAGGCTTGAGTTGGTCGACGACAACATTTTTTGAATTGACTGTATATCGGGTCGGGTACAGTTACATGACTATTGTTATGATAATATCATCCTTTACATATTTATTTATTCCTTCTTGTAGATTTCCATAATCATCCTCTGTCTCAGTAAAATGCTGTGAAACATTTTCATAACTTTTAAAATCCCTGCTTGTTTTATAATTTATTGTTGTTTGTTTGTTGTTGTTTGGTTTTGTTGTTGTCGTTGTTGTTCACGGATTTTTTCAAGTTCTTCTAAATTTAAAGTGACCACAATTTATGCTTTCATTTAATCAGTTTATTTGAATCTTATTTTCTTAGCCCGCCTTACAATTTTTAATCATTACTGTTGAACAAATGCATTCTTTGGACATGCTGAATTCCCCGGCTCTGGTCAGCGCTTTTAATCACAAACTGGCTTTTTTGAGAAACCCCATGGCGCCAGCTTGAACTCGTCACAATTGATGACTCCGTCTTCTGCAAAGGCAAATAAAAAGAGAAAATATTATAATTGCTTCTTAAACCTATTTTTGAATGAATTTTTTTTAGTTGAAAAACATTTGTACTACAGCGTTAACCTAAATCGAGAGAACGACATAATGGAATGTTCTTAAGGACGTTCATGGCCAAAAAATCCCATTGCCAGATTTCTTAAAAATTTTGTATGATGAGAGTATATCATAATAAAAAAGAAAAAAAAAGCAAATAAAATTTGGGGGTTACCGATTTCGTTTAGCCGTCAGAATGCGTGGAAGTTCACCCTTTTTACAGTAAAAACGCGCGAACAACGTAGACATGAAAGCTGTCAAAAATAAGCCTTAATTTACTGGGGGGAGAAAATGATCGTCTTCATTTTCACAGAACTCTAGACAATAACCAAAGAATTAGTTAGCATTTAAAGTTTGTGTTAAAAATAGAAATATAAGATGTTATTGGGCTGCAAGTGTGGACTTGTAGCCTTCACGTTACGTGAAATATTTCTATTCCATTATACGCAAAATATGTAATTTCGATTTGATCCCATCCTCAGATTTTTTATTTTCCCCTTAAAGTTGGTTATTATAAGGTACTTTCAAAAAAACGAAATAAAAAAGGGGGTCCCCGACTTTGTTTTATAGCTATAAGAGATTAAAGAAGTTTTCAAGATATTTTGCTTATCAAAACATTGGAATGACGTCATCACGATGAGCGCAAGCGCGCTAAATTTATGCGTAGGAAGGATACGCGCGAACAATCCCCATGAGCGTCCTTAACAAGTTTAATCGTTACCTTTATTTCAATTACTTTACTTTGATAATGCAGCGGAAAATCGATGAATTACGAAATTTAGTAGACTCGAATATTTTTTTCCCTAGGAATATTTGAACTTACTATTCTCGTCAGCACTGTTGAAGACTTTTTTAAGGTCGGTTTTCTTTTTCACATCAGAGATGGTTGTTCGGAACTCATCGAAGGTGATACTTTTGTCGCCGTCCTTGTCATAGGTAGAGAACTTGTACGGGAACTTTTCAAGGATAGCCTTTTCTGGTCCTTTTTTCGTACTTTTAACTTTTCCCTGAAAAACCCAAACATTATAGTGAATTGACTTTTCCTACTAGCCGGACAGTATGCGATATTTGATTTATTGGAAATAGGAGTTTACTATAAGATTTTACTTCGATAATAGTAAAACTGCTAAGTTTCGTAAAGATTGCCTTTAGACTGACGAAGAGGTATTAATTTTTGAAACTAAGCATTTTTGCAAAGAAATGTAAGCCAGTAACGCGTAATAGCCTCGTTATCAGGACAGACACATTTCTTTGCAAAAATCACTAATTTAGACTAGGAGTTTAACCATGTAATACATTCCTTTCGTGCACCTTGTCACGCAACACCGTTGAAGATAGTCCTTTATCACGGTAGAAAAAAAAAACGCTTACTGGTTGAATAAAAAGAAACGAGAACAAGGTTAGCTTACCTTGTCATTCTCGATCTGGTCTCTCTTGTAATAGCATGTAGTTCTGTAGTACCTTAAGCAGACACGATACCAGCCGCAGTTACTGAGGTACCTCACACCGCATGTTACAACGCGATACCTGAGGCATAACGCGTCGGTTTGGGGCAGTACAACACAGAGAACAAGGCAAATTGCTGCCAAGAGCATCAGAGTCTTCATGATTCAGTATTTCTAGAAAAGACGAGAGATTGGAAATATGACTTCAGTGTATTTGACCACATACCATCCTCTTGAGTATTATTGTTTTAGATTGAAATACAACAGAACAAAAAAAGGAATGTAACGAAACTGAATGCAATGCAATGCAATGAAATATAGTAAAGAAGAGAAGAGAACAGAAGAGAACAGAAGAATGAAACTCGCAAAGTTTTTCAATTTGTACCTTGGTTGAAAACACGTATACATTAAGCAGCCTACCTTGGTTGGGTTTCCTGTGGTTAAGAGTCTTGTATTCCTTCTTCTTTGCTGTCTCAGATCAAAGTGCTTCTTCTATTATTTCTCTCTTCTTTTATGCCATCCCAAAGAGGAAAATAATCGTTATGATTGATAGATACGGTACGTATTCAACAGCGACACGAGGGAAAAGAAAAAATAGCCTTGAACACGAAAAATCTTGAAACGCAAATGTTGACTACGATCTGAATAACTTTACAAAGAAAGCGCTTTAAATAAACTCAATGCCTGCAAAACGAAACGTAAAAATAGGTTAAACAGAATAGAACTGAAGCAGGAAGTTAATGATATGAATCTGAAATCAAACGTTACATGTATAAACTGATCTTTATTTTAGGCCGAATTCTTTAAAACAACACCAGTCCGGACATTGAATAATATATTTTTCCTTTTTGAAAAAGAGCTTTTTTGAAACCGTTACCGTTTAGTATTCCAAGACCGCATCACATTGCAATTGTTTAAATTGTTTTGGTTAAACAGCGCTAAAAATCTGGGATGGTCAGAGTCGTAGAAGTATAGGGTCATTTTAACATTTTGTTTGTAAGTGAGTTTACTGTAATATCTTCTCATATATATTCTTTCAATTTGATAGAATTTAAGCATGGAATTTCACTTCTGGCTGATTGAAATTCAAGAGCTTTGTTTTCGTTTTAAAAGGAAATTGATAGTGTACTGAAACGGGAAACCTCGCTGGTTGATCGACCACCAAGCACCGACAAAAAAGCGAAAATCTACCACTTCCACAAAAAATCTTATTCTTTATGAAATAAAACGTGGTCTGAAATGAAAAACATTAATTCAGTCCCGATCTTGCATTATTTACCGTCACGTCTTTCGATATATTTTTACATTTTCTGCCGTTTATTCATAGTTATTTTTGAAATAAAGCTATTAAAAGTCGTTCACATAGGCTATCTAGTTCAAGATCTTTCATGCTAAAATATATTTTGATATTAATACACGTCTTTTGATTATAACTTTCTGAAAGTTAGTATGCTCGTCAGTACTCAAACGTGGGCAGCTAAAATTTCGACAAAAGTCCCCCAAAAAAGAGCGAATATTAGACAAAATAATTTTTATATATGGTATATTTAATGTATGTTGAGAGTAAAAGAAAAAAGAAAGAAAAAATTTCGCCACAAATTAAAGCAAACTACGTCCTGAGTGAAGAAATAACGATGAGTTTGAAGTAGTTTTCCCCTTGTAAGTTAGATTTTCGATCAATTTTTATTCAAAATAACTAGACTTGTTAAAGTAATCATAGTGTTCCTGACACTCCTGTCACTCACGTAGTGCTAAATCCGTAAAAAAATATGACAGTGAAATGATTACTGAGAATAATTGGACGACACAAAATAAACACATGAAAAAGTATTAACTAAGTGTTAAATTTTACGCGGTTTTAGAGTGCATCTGGTCACGCTGTTGAATAGTTAGATAAATTTATCAAACTTAGATAGCTCAGAATTTCGTTGACGTCAACTAATTAGCAGTTAGACTAAGTTCACTCTATTTGACCAGAAACTATACTTATGGCAGCTGCAAAACTCAGTGCTATTTTATTTGTGTTTTTTTTAAGGGTGTTTGAAATTATTTAATTTTATCTGACTATGGCTGATTAAACCGACGCTATATTAAACTGTTTTTTTCTTCTTCTTCTCCTTCTTCTTCTTCTCCTTCTTCTNCTTCTTCTTCTTCTTCTTCTTCTTCTTCTTCTTCTTCTTTTTACATATGAATAAATAGAATGACGAGAAGTAACCTGATCATGAGAATTGAGAAGTTCGAGTAACGCAATGAAACTCTCTCGTTATTCCATAAGATTGGGAAATATATAAGAGACTAGTATGGGAAAAAGTGAGGGCTGACACTGGAAAATACGAGACTATAGTATGGAGTGGAGTGGGGATGGGAGAAGGGAAGGGGGGGGGGGGGGGGCTATAACGCTTACAAAAATACATTTCACGAACTTGCTTATTCAAATAACATGCACAACAATCGAGTTTTACAATTCGTAGATTTTCTTGCGCTTGATCAAAAAAGGAACTCTTTTTTTTTAGCTTCAAATGATCTAAAAATGTCCTTCGCAAGGGAATAAATTATTCAATGTCCGGACTGGTGTTGTTTTAAAGAATTCGGCCTAAAATAAAGATCAGTTTATACATGTAACGTTTGATTTCAGATTCATATCATTAACTGCCTGCTTCAGTTGTATTGTGTTTAACCTATTTTTACATTTTGTTTTGCAGGCATTGAGTTTAATTAAAGCGCTTTCTTTGTAAAGCCGTTCAGATCGTCGTCAACATTGGTGTTTCAAGATTTTTCGTGTTCAAGGCTATTTTTTCTTCTCCCTCGTGTCGCTGTTGAATATGTATCGTATCTATCAATCATAACGATTATTTTCCTCTTTGGAATGGCATAAAAGAAGAGAGAAATAATAGGAGAAGCACTTTGATCTGAGACACGAAGAAGAAGGAATACAAGACTCTTAACCACAGGAAACCCAACCAAGGTAGGCTGCTTTATGTATACGTGTTTTCAACCAAGGTACAAATTGAAAACTTTGCGAGTTTCATTTTTCTGTTCTGTTCTGTTCTGTTATCTTCTCTTCTCTTCTCTTCTTTACTATATTTCATTGCATAGCATTGCATTCAGTTTCGTTCCATTCCTTCTTTTGTCCTATTGTATTTCAATCTAAAAAAATAATACTCAAGAGAATGGTATGTGGTCAAATACACTGAAGTCATATTTCCAATCTCTTGTCTGTCCTAGAAATACTGAATCATGAAGACTCTGATGCTCTTGGCAGCAATTTGCCTTGTTCTCTGTGTTGTACTGCCCCAAAACGACGCGTATTGCATCAGGTATCGTAGTACATCTTGTGGCTTGACCTACATCAGTGGATGCGGATGGTATCGCATATGTGTAGCTTACTACAATACGAATTGCTATACCAAGAGAGACGAGATTGAGAATGACAAGGCAAGTTATAATCTTTTTCTTTGTTGTGTATGTAGTTTTTAAATATATATATTGTTCGTTTGCTGTGGTATTACTGCTATGTGAAGTGGTGTTACTGCTATATATAGCGGCGTTGCGTGACAACGTTCAGAAATGGAATGTGTTACACTAAGAATCCACTCAAATCTTTTTTTTAGGCTACAAATAAGAAAGGACCAGGAAAGGCCATCCTCGAAGACATGCCCTGCAAGTTCTCTACCTATGACAAGAACGATGACGGAAGCATCACCTTCGATGAGTTCCGATCAACCCTCGCAGATGTGCACGGTATCAAGCAGATTATGAAAGCCTTCAGAGGCAGTGACACAAATGGTGAGTCTAAAAACAAAAAAAATAATGTTTAATCTAGATTACTTTTAGTAATACATTAATATTCTTCGCTGCATTTTCTAAGTAAAACGTCAGAGGAAACGCCGGAAGGTTCATAAAATCCCGGGGAGGGGAGGGGAGGGGTAGAAAGGACTCACATGGGAAGAGGGCGGGGATTCTCGTCATACCTTTAAGGGTTCCAGATCTGCAAATTGGTACCTCCTATGGTGTCACAAATCTAAAAGGACTACCAGAGAGTAAGCCAGTACCTCTTACGGTGTTTTTGAGGCAATACTGAGATACCTGAGATTATACGATGACAGTCAGAATTGGCAGTTGTAATTCAGGATATTTATTTTCAGTTCATTATCTGACTTCTGTCACTCAGATCATAGATAATTGGTGCCTTTTAGGGTTAAAAATCATTAGTTGCAACGCCCAATTGGACAGGACTGGTACCTCGAAATTTCCAATGAGCATCCCCGCCCTGAAATAAAAACACTCAAAAAATGAGTTTGAAGCAATCTTTGCCGCTCCAAACACTCCACAAAAGTAATGTATCACGCCTTTATTTATTCTAGAGGAATATGGCGTTACTTTATTCACGTTGTGTTTTTTGTTTGTCTTTTCCAGGAGATGGCGTTATCAAGTGTAACGAGTTCAAGAAGAGTGAATGGGGTTGCTCTCATAAGCATGTTTGCTAGTAAAACCGCTGACCAGAGCAGGGGAATTCAGTATGTCCAAAGAATGCATTTGTTCAACAGTAATGATAATAAAAATTGTAAAGCGGGCTAACAAAATAAGATTCAAATAAACTGATTAAATAAAAGCATAGATTGTGGTATTTTTTTAATTAAAAAAATTAAAATTAAAATTAAAAAGCGAATCCTCCCCCCCCCCCCCCCCAAATAAAAAAATCAATCAATCAATCAATTAAATAACCGTATCAAAATATTCACTGACATTTGTGTCTAATATTTGAAACTTGGTCCAAGACCCCCGAATTTCACCCCTTAATTGTAGCAAAATAGACATTGATTTTTCCACCAACGTTTAATGTTTTATGTTGCTTCAATTTATAATCTTAGGAGAAATGACAATGGCATTCTCCTTATTTATCCTCCATCTTCCTCTTGAAATTAGATGCTCCAATTCTATTTCATCTTTTAAATCTAAGATTAAGACATTTTTATTTAAGAAATCTTTTTATTTATATTTTTATTATTTGTATATATATTTTTATTGATTTCTTTTTCTAATTATGTATGTATTTGAATTTATAATGATTTAGTTTATCAGTTGTTTGTGATGCGCATTTGAGTATTTATGTAGGATTTGCGCAATACAAAATAAAGTTATTATTATTATTATTATTGTTGTCCCTTACTTTTTACGACGTTCATTCGGATTTCAATTATTTGGTTATCGTGCTTTCTAGAAATGTTAAAATATTTGTGATATTTAAAAAAAATAATGACATCATTTTGACTTTGAACATGTCAGGTCCATATAAAGAAATGCATGTATGGAGTCCGACTGCGCGTCCATCGCATTTGCCGATTAAAATACCATATTCGTTTATTCTCTTTCAAGAAACGACACGTTTTCAATCGGTTTATAAAATACTGGGAATCATTGAAGAAATCAAACTTTTTTGGCGCAACAAAAGAAAAAGAAAAAGAAAAAAAAAAACAAAAGAAAAAAGAAAACAACAACAACAACAACAACAACTGGGGACAAAGAACGTCATTAAATTTTGCAGCAGATAGCCAGGACGTTGTTAACGTCTTCACTGGTTTGTTTGTTAGTTTAATTTGTCATGGCTCGAGTAAATGAAATAAATAAATAAAATAAATAATCACTTTTATTTAAGTGTCTAGTCGTTCTAGCGCCTTCGCACTAATTGGGGACATTTTACACTCATACACACTACCACTTCATTTAATATTCTATGCACACAACGCTCAATTCACATAGAAATACCGACACTGGAATACGGTCGACTAGAAAACCTTGCTTTTCCAGCGATTACTAGCACGTAGCCTTACGATTCGTTTAGGTAAACTTGAAAATTTTTGTGAAGCTATTCTTCTAGATCCGAATAGAAGTGACATACAATTTTTGCTTACTTCCATCATCGTTGAAGTGCGTCTTGTGAAGTTTGGGATGTCACTTTAAAATTAAATTAATAAAACAAATAAAATCCGAATCATCAAAACGAATCATCACGTGACATTTGTTAAACAGTTAATCATCTCTAATTTATCTGGACAAAGATAATGACATAAATAGAAAAAATTACTCGATTCTGATTGGCTGAGAGAGCAGTGATGTTAACCAATAACACAGCAGAACAAGTAACTTGCATTGCAGTGCAAATTTTAGTGCAAATTTAAAAAAAGTAATCTGCAATGAACATTAGAAGTTGTTCGCCTAGTTCCGGCTCGTGTAACTTGAAAATCTTGATTTTAAACTGCACTGGGGATATTCTTTTCAAATTGCACAGAAGTTCTCGTGGAACCCCCCTCTTGTGAGAACTTGTGAAGCCAATCATGTTAGTATAATGAAATTGAAACCCCCCTTTGTGAAGCCAATCTTGCCAGCTTGTTCAGCGTGGCGGCCATTTTTAATCGCCCCTTTTCAAAATCCTGGATCCGCCATTGAATGATTTAAAAATTTAATTCTAAACTTATTTTGAGTGGCTTTCTTTCTCCTCTCTCCCTGCTGACAGACTTTCTTTTTCTTCTGCTGAATCTGCATTCGCGAGGAAAAGGAGACTCTGTTGACACTAGAGAAAAACGTTTGCGCATGCATGCACTTCAGCACTTTTTCTAAGAATTTTGAAGAGTTTGAGTGAGAAAATATATGTTTGTTTTCTCCAAGTATACAAAAAAGTTCGAGAGTATACTTTTGTCAGACCAAGATACTGTATTAACAAACACAATAATACATATATTTAGGCACTGCCTAAAAGCGGAGCTCCCGATACGGAAGTCACAGGGAGAACAATTTGAATGAAACTGAAAGGTAAAAATAAGATCGGGGAAAAAATCTTCAGTTATTGTTATTCGAGATAAAGATAATTTCTCCCATAATAAAAACCATGCAGTGAAATCGAATCAAAATGCAGTACATTGTTTTGTTTGTTTGTTTGTTTGTTTGTTTGTTTGTTTGTTTTTTGTTGTTGTTGTTTTTTTTGCGCGAGTATACTCTTCCACTTAGGAATTTTGTACACAACTCACCACCACCCCCAGGGGCTAGTTTTACTCTTGGAAGATTTTCTTCGACAAAACTTTTCCAGTGCCGACAGTTTTAGGCTTTGAATCTCTTTTTCTTAAAGAAAAACGAAAGATAACTACAGATAATCCAATACAATATCAAGTTTAGTGAAATTCACCTCGGATGTCTTTCATTGAAATCGAAAAT